AAGAGAAACCCCCAACAGAAGGACCCCCAAAGGCAGATTCCTAAAGAGAGATCTTCCCAAGAGAGAGATCCCCAATACAGAGACCTCCAAAGGGAGAGATCTCCAATAGAGACCCCCCAAGAGAGAAATCTCCAATAGAGACCCCCTGAGAGAGATGTCCAAAAGAGAGACCCCCAAAGGCAGATTCCTAAAAAGAGACCCCCCCAAGCGAGAGACCCCCAAAAACAGAGATCCCCAATAGAGACCCCCCAAGAGAAAGAGACCCCCAAGAGAGAGATCCCCAACAGAGAGACCTCCAAAGGGAGAGATTCCTAAAGAGAGACCCCCAAGAGAGAGATCCCCAACAGAGAGACCTCCAAAGGGAGAGATTCCTAAAGAGAGACCCCCAGAGAGAGATCCTCCCAAGCAAGATCCCCAAAGAGAGAGATTCCCAAAGAAAGATCCCCAAAGAGCAATCCTCCCAAGAGAGAGCCCCCCAAAAAGAGCCCCCTGAAGACAGAGATCCTCACAAGAAAGATTTTCAATAGACCCCCAAAAAGATCCCCCAAAGAGAGAGGTTCCTAAAGAGAGATGCCCCAAAGAGAGATCCTCCTGAGAGAGATTCCAAAAGAGACCCCCCCAGAGAAGATCCTCCCAAGAGAGATCCCAATAGAGAGACCCCAGAGAGATCCCCAAAGAGACGGCCCAACAAAGATCCCCCAAAAGAGACCCCCCTCCAAAAAGAGATCCCCAAAGAGGATCCCCCCAAGAGAGAGAGTCCTAAAGAGAGGTCCCCAGTAGAGAGATCTCCTCAAAGAGAGATTCCCCCAAGGATCTCCCCCAAAGATGATATCCCTAAAGAGGATCCCCCCAGGAGACAGATTCTGAAACAGATCTCCAAAGAGAGACCCCTGCCAAGACAGGTCCCTAAAGAGATCCCCAAAGAGAGAGATCTCTAAAGAGAGATCTCCTATAGAGTGAGTTCTCCCCAAAGAAAGATCACCAGCCAAAGAGAGATCCCCCCAAAACATCAGGGCAAGGCCCCACACAGCACCTGCCGGGGGCGGGGAGGAGAGGGGTGGGAACAGATCTCCCACGAGACAGATCCCCTCAAAGATAATTCCCAAAGGGAGATCCCCCAAAAGAGAGATCCCCCAAAAGAGATTCCCCCTCCCCCCCGACCAGTCATTGTGGGAGTCACCGTAGCCAGCTGGCTGGAGACAACGCGTCAGCTCTGCGCTCGCTCGGCAGTCGGCAAACAGCCTGGCGTGATTAAGATAATTGCAAACACAATGGAAAGTCTCGTGATGCCCCTTTATAAATCCCTGGGGCGTCTGCACCTGGAACAGGGCCTGGTCCCCGCGCCCCCGAAAGGAGACAGGAGACCTGGCGAAGGTGCGGAGAAGGGCAGCGAGAGCGGTGGGCGGTGAGGACGAAGCCATGCCTGTGCAGTGTGAAAACGAGATGCTGGAAGGGGGACGGCAGAAGGGTTTGCACAGCACTAAATGGCAAAGAGAAAGTCACTGGGGATTTATTATTGACGGTGTGTGGGAGCAGGGAGGCAGTGGGACACGCCTGGAGGGGTTCAAGGAGAGGTTGCACAGCGCCTGGTCAGGGATGATCTAGGTGCAGCCATGCCTATGGGGATTTTCCAGGCTTCTGGGCTTTCCTGGTTGCACCCTCCCTTGCCTCTCTACTGTGTGTCAGGGGGGGTTTAAGCCTCCCCCAGAAGCGCAGGGTGTTGCTGCAGCCCAGACTGGGGATGGGGACCAGGCTGTGCCAATGCTCCTACTGGGACCAAACCCAGAGGGTGCTGGCTAGAGGGTCTTGCTCCTCCACTTAGGGTCAGACCAGCACCACATTTGGGGTCAGGAAGGAATTTCCCCCCTGGTCAGATTAGGGCGGAGTTGCCTTCCTCTGTAGCAGGGGCACGGCCTCTGCCTGGGGTCTCTTGAGCATCTATTGACAACACTTCGTAGAAGCAGGATATTGCCCCTCCTCCTCCCTGCCCTGCTTTACCTGCGGCAGGTTCAGGTGCAAGGTCTGTGTTGTGTCTGGAGCAACAGCAGTCTTACCTAGGGTTTAGATGATGCTTTGTCTGGGCTGGTTTGCAGAGGGCTGGTCCTGCCCCAGGCAGGGGCTGGACTAGACGTGACCTCGGCAGGTCCCTGCCGGCCCCGCTGCTCTGCGAGTCTTGGATTCTCCAATCTCCCCCCAAGCAAGAACAAGGAGCCCCAACATGAAGCGAGTAGGTAATAAGTTGAAAACTGCCGACCGGGATTTCTTTTGCACCTAGCCTGTCATTCAAGGATGGGACTCATGGCCATCAGATGAGGCAGAAGCTGAGAGCTCAGCCAGGTTTGCCAAGGAACCGGACACGTGCTTGGAGGAAAGGAGCAATGCATCAGCAGCTGTTGAGCACGAGCGTGAGAGGCATGGCCTCTGCATCCAAGCTTCATTTCTGGAGGCTGCAAGGGGGAGAGGAGCAAAACCCCGAGTCAGACTTAGTTCATGCTCCCTTCCAGCACCCACTGTGACACAGGCCTGCTTTGCCCAGTCTCCTATGGTCTGACCCAGAACAGGGCAGCTCTTATGTTCTCCTGTTATAAATGCTTGCCGAGCCAGGGGCCCAAGCAGCATGGTGCAGGGCTCATCCTCCTCTGCCCCAGGCGCTGGGTTTGCAAGGGTTCAGGAGCCAGCAGAGCCCTTCCCTTTGGCAAGAAGGTCTGTGGGAGCAATGGGGCCCTCTGGCCCCCCATTCAGGTTCCTCCTATGGGGAAGATGCTCTAGGGACTGGGCCAGAGTCTGCAGCTTGGCATTTCCAGGGCACTTCTCTGCCACCAACTGATTAACAGCAATTGATTGGTGACATCTGTTCACTAATGAGCTGAGCAATGCACCCACAGACCCCTGGGAGACCGGGGGAGGGTGCACCGAGTAACTGTACGTCACTGCCTCTTGCTGGATGGCAGTGGGCCTGCTGGCACTGGGGTATCACGGGCCCTTTACTGCTATCTGGTGATGGAGATTCCCACTAAAGGACTGTTGATCTTCCCAGCTGCTTCCAAACCCTGCCAGCACCAAACACCTAGAGCTGCCTAAATTTCCACCAGCAGAGCTGCCTGGGTGCCTGGAAGCGAAGCGTCCCGGTGCTGATCTCCAGCCCACCACTGACAGAGGTCCTAGAGCAGGGGCAGGGTAGGGCTAGGGCACAGACACCCCGGTAGGCTCCAGAGCATCTCACCCTGGGTAGGTGGAGCCACTGTGGGGCTCAGCACCCAACATCTGTACCGTGGCTTGATGGTGGGGGATCCCATCATGCTTCCTGCTGAGACAGCCGCGTTTGCACAGAGAATGAAGCAGCATGCAGGTGGGTGCCCATCGCCCTGTAGCCAGGCAGTTCATCTGGGCAGGGGGCAGCTTGGGGTGTGGGCTGGGCTCTGGTATGTGCTTCAGGACCTCATTGCTCTTGCCTCCCCTCACTCTGCCCTCAGGCATGATGCAAACTGAAGCAACAGTCTCCTGGAGGGTGCGCGTGTCTGGCCCAGTGAATGAGAGAGCAAGCCATCCTTTCCTCTCTGCAGCACCGAGCCTTGTTCCTCTGCATTGCACCCAGGGAGAAGCAGCTGAAGCCTCCAGCAATGCCCATGGGCAGCTTGACCTGGCACCCGGAGCAGGCGCAGCGCTGAGATGAGGGAGATCACGTGGAAGTCGGGGTCTTGGCTAAAAGTGCGGCAGCTCCGGGGTCTTCTCCCCTCCCTGGAAAAGGAGCGATGCGAGCTGGAAGGCAGCGGGTCCGGGTGGAGGTTTCCCCACCGTGCGAGAGCCGGCCGCCTGCTATCCCCTGGCAAAAATGCTCCCTCCCCCCGGCTGTAGAGAGCACACTAAGCTCTCCCACCAGCTCAGGTCCCCTGCAGTCCTGACGCAGGCTGGCTCCTTCTTGGATGAGTCGGGAGCATTGTGCAAAGGGCATGTCTCCCTTCCCAGGCAGAACCAGCACAGATTTCCAAACAGGCCCAGCAGATCTGTTCCCTGATGGGGGAATTAAAGGAAATCAATTAGTGCACCAGGAAGCAAGCAAGCAAACTCTCAGCGCCTCTGGGCTGCTCTGCAGAGGACGTTGATGCAGGCGCCAGGCCAGGAGCTGGGGCTGAGGTGATCTGTCAGTCTCCAGCTCTGCCACAGGCTGCCTGGGTGACCATGGGCAAGTCACTTAGGTCCAGGTCCTCAGTGGCAGCAAGGGCCTCTATGCCCATTGATTTCTACAGGCTGCAGGCTCCCGAGTACTTTTGTGGGTCTGGGCTGTATTCTGATGGATTCGGAGAACCAACAAAGGCTGGAAGAGCCAGACCCGCCAAAATCAAGTGCTTGCCGCACAGGAATGGCTGCATTGTTTGCAGCAAACTCTGTAACAAAATATAGAAAAGATATAAATGACTGAAGAGCACAGACAAGGACTACCAAGCAAACGTTTACAATGGATACAAGGTGCACACATCTAAATTTACAGACCTTTGTCAAATGCGGAGGAAGAATCTCTTGCATTTGAAAGCTTATCTAACTTTATCCCATAGCTGGCCCAATAAAAGAGATCAACCTAAGGAACCCTTGCCTCCCACACAGTATTTGCACCATCATGGCTACATCACTCTCAGGCTAACGTGTTTCTAAAGGCAAAATAATCTTACTGAGATTTGACAGTGATTTTTTTATCTTAAAATGTCTAAGTCCTAAAGTATTATAAAGTCTCTAGCAGGTGGGCAGCCCATTAGGGACAGGACCTTCCTACCTAGGTTTTTAAATAGTGCTAAACAAGTACACCTGCCAGTGAACAACTCGGCAAGAGCTGTAGTTCGGGACTGAAGAGCCTAAATCCCAGAATAGACCCTGCTCAGCCAGAAGTTTACTGAATAAGGTAAAAAATATTTAAGAGCCTACCTAATAGGTGCTACCGTGATGAATATTCATCTGTCTATTCCAGTCCTTTATTAGCTTGTCTAAAATTAAACCTTACAATCACAGAATCATAGAAAACAAGGGTGGAAGGGACCTCAAGAGGTCACATCCAGTCCAACCCCCTGCTCCAAGTAGGACCAGCCCCACCTACATCATCCCAGCCAAGGCTTTGTCGAGCCAGGGCTTCAAAAACTCCAAGGATGGAGACTCCCCCACCTCTCTGGGTAACCTGTTCCAGTGCCTCACCACACTCCTTGTGAGAGTTTTTTTTCCTAATTCCCAACCTCAATTTCCCTTGCTGCAGCTTGAGCCCATTGCTCCTTGTCCTGTCATCTGCCCCCACTGAGACCAGTCCAGCTCCATCCTCTTTGCAGGGAGTTGAAGGCTGCTATTCAATCCCCCTTGGTCTTCTCTTCTCCAGACTCAATCAGCCCAGCTCCCTCAGCCTCTCCTCACCACTCCTGTCCCCCAGACCCCAACCATTTCTGTCCCCTCTGCTGGACTCTCTCCAATGTGTCCACATCCTTTCTGTAGTGGGGGTCCCAAAACTAGACTCAGGACCAGGGCTGGATTAACCCTTTAGTGGGCCCTAGGCAAACAAATTCATGGGCTCCTACTCAATACTGTATATATTTTTTTCACTCAATAATTATAATATATAAAATAAGAACAGCTGGGCCCCTTCTTCACTTAGGGCCCTAGGCATGTGCCTAGTTTGCCTATGCATTAATCTGGCCTTGCTCAGGAATCCAGATGTGGCTTCCCCAGTGCTGAATAGAGGGGAATAATCACTTCCCTTGATCTGCTGGCAACGCTCCTACCAATGCAGCCCAGGATGCCATTAGTCTTCTTCCCAACAAGGGCACACTGCTGGCTCCTATTCAGCTTCTTGTCTCCTGTCCCCCCAGGTCCTTTTCTGCAGAGCTGCTGCCCAGCCAGTCACCTCCACCCTGCACTGATGCATGCAATTATTGCATCTTAAGTGCAGGACTTTGCACATGTCCTTGTTGAACCTCATGAGATGTCTTTTGGGCCAATCCTCCAATTCTTCCAAGTTGTTGATAAAGACATTGAACAAAACTGGCCACAGGACTGACCCCTGATACCAGCTGCCAACTAGACATCGAGCCATTGATTACACCCTCTGAGCTCAATGCTCCAGCCAGTTTGCTATCTACCTCACAGTCCATTCATCCAACCTGGACTTCCTAAACTTGCCTGCAAGAATGGTGT